CCTCTGGTGGGACAGCGAGCACCCCTCCCTGGAAAGGCCTGGTGCATCTGCAGCAGGAGACTGATGCTTTAGCTCTAAGGTTCCGTGGACTCACTGAGGGCTCCTTCCTCTCATCTTCTTAAGGAGAACATCAAGAGAATGACAAAGGACCCACAAGAAGCAGCGAGGAAAGGGAACCAGGACGCTGTCACCACTGTGCACACACACAATGCCGGTGCTGGCAGGAGCTGTCTGCTTATTTGCTGGATGACAACAAAAATCCCCCCAAGTTCAGTCTGAAGGCATAAATGGTGTGTGTGTAGGGGAGGCAGGAGAGCACCGTGGGCCCCCTCCTGTGTGAGCTGAGTCCAGTACTGCCCTCCCAGGATACAGGGATGCCCTTCCTGCTGGTAGTCCACAGGATTGGATGCCCCCTGAAGGCTCCTGACAGCACAGCACTCACCACAAGAGGACTCTGAGCCCAGATGTGGCCAGAATCTGGCTGCTTTCAATCATTTGAGGGGGTGAGAAGGGCCAGAGCACAAGCCAGTCCTAACTGCAACCCATCAGGATCCAAGAATTCAAAAACATCCGGGTCGTCAGGAATTAGACCCAGTAAAAATGGGGGCCGTGCCTGCTCGTCACATTCTTCAAGCCCCCAGGGATGCAGGCCGAGCTCCAGTTGAGTGGGGCACCCCGGAAATGGCACCCTCATCCAGCCCTCCAGGGCACAATGGAGTCTGCCCTGCTCTCACAGTGGCACCTTTCCTTGCTGGCAGGGGTGGGACTGCCTGAGGCTCTGAGCTCCTCTCACCAGGCCCAGGACACAGGCCATCGTCCTGAGCCCCTCATTGAGTAACTCTGGGTGACCGAAGCCAACAGACCTTTGCCTGAGCCCATGTGCCAACATGAGAGACAGATGGACAAATCCATGTGGCTTCGTTCACTGGGGTGGCAACAAATGAGTTTTCCCATGGGAACGGGACGAGTCTTCTTAATGGGGATGGGTAGGGATGAAGGATAAAGAGAAGCCATGACCTCCTGCCCCTTCAGCCAGGGGACAATCTGGTCCCTAGAAAACCCAGAGTAACCACGGGCCTGTGCTGCTCAACGCAGAGACAAGGCCTCCTAGTCCCTGGCTGACTTCCATCGGCTCCAAAACCACGGGGAAAAGAGCTCACGCTCCAGGCCCCAGCACGGCCACCAACGTGACCACCACCGACTCACAACCCAGAAATGGTTTGGCTCATCATGTGTGGTCCAGATGGGAAAATGTTCCTCACATATGGTCTCAGGATAGTGTTCCTAGTACATTCTGATAACGCTGGGTGGTTTATAACTGATGGCCTCTGGTCCCCAATGACAGCTCTGACCACCATCTCTCTGGTGGCCTATGGCTGCTGTCACTCGGGGAGAACTGGGCCTCCCTGCTCTCCTCTGGGGGGTATCACCTGGAGGCCATGTACTCTCTTCCTCCCCCCTTGAAGCGCACAATGACACTGCTGGGGACAGAACAGCGTCCTCTGGGTCGCGATTTCACCATCACAAGCTGTCACATCACCCCTCTCAATCCCCCAGCAGGTCAGCTCACCTTCAGAGGAGGGTGGAGACACACTCAAAGGCACACAGAAATACGGGTCGTTAAGGCTGAAAAGCCACCTGAAAGGTGGACATTTGCCCGAGGAGGGGGAGCCGTTTCCAGAGTCAGGCCCCGGTGTGGCTCCCGGCTCGGGCTGTTTCCTGATGGTGAACCACTTGGAGGACTTCCGGTTCCATCATCTGACAAGTGAGAGGACTCCCACTTACCCTACAGGGTTACTGTAAGGATCAGGGATTGCTTTGAAGATTTTTTTAAATGATAATGGGGAAATGCTCCCGATACTGGGCCAATCAACACCCCACAGAGGAGGGCACGCACCTAAGGCTGACCAGGCGGTCTCCTGGTTTAGGATTTTTTTACTTTAAGGATGGTGCGAAAGCAACACACATTCAATAGAAATCAAACTTCGAATTTCCTTTTCCTGGCCTGGTGGTAGGTGGATGCCCTCTCGTGATGCTGGGCGGCTGGGCAGCGGCTTCCAGGCAGCCAGGGATCAGGAGAGGAAAAAGCCGAGTCTCTACAGTGCGCCATACTGACAGTGTTTTGTATTTTCACATCCCATCACGTCTACTAAACACCCACCTGTCTCTCCTGCTTCTGGTGAAAAGAGGAGAGGAAGGCAATTACTCCTGAGATATAACTCCAGATAACTGCCCAACTGCGCCACTGTAAGTGTTCCGAGCATGTTTAAGGTGGGCTAGACTAAGCTGGGATGTGCGGTGGGTGCATTAAATGCATTTCCGACTTACGGTACTGTCGACTTACGATGGGTTTATCGGGACATATCCCACTATAGGCTGAGAAGCATCTGTATAGGAACCAGGGGGATGGGACGGAAAGAAAAGGGAGGAAAAGTCAGAGATGAAACTTGGCTCTTCCCCAGGTCTGGCCCAAAAGGGCAGCACAAAGCAACACGTCTGTATCACCTTATTCAAGAAATCACAACCCAAACATTCAAGTCTGTAAGAAACCAGAAACACCCTTGTTCTGATTCTTGGAGAATCCAAGAGCCACCCTGCCTTGGAGACGTCTGCACAAGAGCCCTCCGCTCCAGCTGGACCACTCTGTCCCGCCCTGCGTGGCCGGCCCCTTCGGAACATCAGACCTCAGCTCCAATGTCACCTCCTGCGGAAGGCCTTCCAGGCTGCTCTCCTCACGGCCGTGAGTCACCCCCTATCCCGTCACCCATCATGGCGCTTGTGCACACTCCTCCGTTTGTCTTTCCACAATGGACGGAAGTGCCATGAGGCCAGGGACTTGGGCCTGCCACATTCTAGGCCGTGCCCCCAGCACTCACCTAGCACCTGGCCCATGGCCAACACTCAACGTCACTCGAGTAGACGAATATGTTCTGGACTCGAGCTGGATAAGGATGGCTTTACATCCCAGTGTCACCGCCGCCTGGCTGCGTGAACTCGGGCAAGTTCTTGGGCAAGAAACACCTCTCTGAATCTGCCAACATAGTTGTATCATGAGGAGAAGCCTCTCTCACAGGCTGTTCGGAAGAGTCAACGAGATAAAGGGGATCCTAAGGCGGTTAACACAGCGCCTGCACAACCGCGGCTGGTGATGCTGTTATCATCACTGCTGTTTTATTATCAAATCTTCAGCACAACATACAACTGATTCCACTTGGAGATTCCTGACAGCTAGACTGGCTTCTTGCCAAGTGGCCGAGTAAAAGAAGACAGTACAGAACAGCTACAGGTAAACTAGGAGATGGTAGTGAGTCAACCTCAGCCTCAGGCAGGAGAAGCGCTTCCACAGCAGGGCAGAGTTCTAGAGGTAAGAGCTCTTTAAACACTGAAATTCATTTTTTACTGTGAAAATCAGGAATTTGTGGCAACTTCAGGCAAATACATGGATGAGTCATTTAGCCTCTCAAAACTTTGGTCTCCTCATCTGTAAAAAAGGGACAAAACTCCCAGAGGTTCTCATCAGGATCAAAGATGATGCAGATAAAACACTGGCCCATGATAGATACTGAAGACAAAGCTGGTTACACGGGGATATATTCAGAGAGAAAGAAACACCGAGGCCACTGGCTCATGGCTGAACCTTTGAATTTCATTCATCTGCTTAAATGTGGTGGGGTTGTTTGTGTATCATACTGAGATGTCACTTTTCCTCCCAAACCAACTTCTCAAAGAAACTCTTTATTAAACGCGTTGTAGGAGATCTGCTATGAGCTGGAAGACCATCCACCTGTCTTGTCTGCAAAATGGAGACCTGAGATTCTCTCGCCGGGGAAAACACCAGCAGCTTCCTATAGCAGCACCAGTTTCAGCTGTTTAGATGCTGCTTCTCATTTTCGTTTTCTTGCCTATATCCTAGATCAGGGGGACAGACTACAAACTGAGGGCCAAATCCCATCTACTTTAAGGCTCTAGTGGTGGTTCTTAGACTTTTAAGGAGAAATAAAAAAAGCAAGCAAGCAAATAATAAGTGACAGGGGCTATGTAGCCTACAGAGCTTAACATTTTTACTGTCTGGCCCTTCATAGAAAAGTTTGCCCACCCCTCTCCTAAACGGCTGAACTGAATTAGTACTAAGGTAGTATTGCATGTTTTACAGTGTTGCTGTATTTTCAGTAATAGAACTTAATCTAAAATGAGATTCTGTTGATTAAAAAAGAACACTGCAGAGGGTAACCTTCCCTGGAGCCTCTCCTTGCAAAGCTGATTAAGTGGCCACTGTCTTTGGTGGCGTGGGAGGCAGGACTGGGTGGGGGCAGAAGGGTGAGGTGGGAGCCTAAGTAGAGCCAGCAAAAACACCTTCCAAGGCGGGGGCTGAGGCCCCCAAACAGCTCAGGAGTCGGCAAAATGCCAGCTCCCAGTGTTAAGGATGCAATTCGTCCTGCCCTGGTGACTGGTCTGGAAGCAGGAACCCCGGGCACCAGTTAAGATCTGGGTCGGACATGCAGTATAGCAAAAAAAAAAAAAAAAAAAGGGGGGGGGGTGCCTCTGGAGACAGACAGACTCGGGTCTGACTCCTGGCTCTGCCTCTTGCCTTGGACAAACACCTTGACCTACCTGAGCCTTAGCTTCTTCATTGGAAAAACGGGAGCTAAAATAGCCATCATGTCTGTGAGGATTTGAGATGTGTAAGGGAGTACCGGCACTGTGCCTTATACACAGCAGTACATGCTGTCCCAGTGGCACCCGCTGTGATGAACCAGGATGTGGAGTAACACACAGGTAAGTCTGCCTATGGCAACACTCAATCTCCAAGTCATTTCATAACTGACCCAGTTAGAAAACTTGTGCCCAGCATCCTGCTCTGGGTGCGGAGAATCTTACTCAGCTGGGCGAGCCAGGTAACAGGTTCAAGGGAGACTCACTGGCCTGGCACCACTGCTCACATTTATGACGTGCTTATCAGAGCCACGAGAGCTCAAGTGCAAGGGGAGTAAGTAACTCACAGGTCTCGGTACTGGTCAAAGGCATTGTTGGCCTCCACCTCCAGCTTTCTCAGTCGAGCAGAAGGCATGGCCCCATCTTCCAAAGGAGGATCATACTTGTTACTCCATGGTGACCTGGAGGGGAGGAACAGGAAGGAGGTAACATGAGTCATTTCAGGGCACAGCCTGTGAGCTGGGAGCCCAAGACCCCGTAGTCTGAAATTTCAGAGGAAACCTCACTGCCCATAGCGGAGATTTTCCCAGGCCCTGGCAAGCAACATGGCTCTCTTGAGGTTTGCAGAGCAAGGGCTCAGCAGCGGGCAGACTTGGACATGACCCTGTGCTCCACCTCTCACCAGCCGGGTACTTCTAGCAAGCATCTTTTTTGCAAAATGAGGCTACTCCTTGCTACCCACAGGGCTGTGGTAAGGAGCAAAGGAGAAAACGCATGTGCCTGGACCAGAGCCTGACACAGAGTGAGTGCTCAACAAATGTGAGTTCTTTAGTTTTCTTTTGTTGTCACCATTGTACTGATCAACAGATGCCCTGCTCTCCTTCCTGACCAGCTGGCAGCTCCGGATAAACATTTACTGCAAAGACCTTCTTACACAATTAAGGATTAAGAGGAGAGCTGTCACCCCACAGGGAATGTTGATTACACATAAGAAAACCTGAGCAATCAAGTGCTCCACGTGCACGCAGGACAGTTTTCCCAACACCCAAGGGCCATACACATGTAAAGACTGCAAGGTAATGAGAACCAGCCCCTCTTTTGCCAGGCCGAAGACTTGCCGCATTTTAAAAAATGTATTTTGCCATTTCAGGAAAGCATTTAATCACAGTGCGTACTGGAAAGGGGTTATAAGGGAACAATCTACTCATTAAATCCTGCAGGTGGAGTTCACAAAATTGGGGGGGTTCACAGAAAGAAAGGGAATGAAAAAGATGCGAGAGGAATGAAAAGGAACAGACAATATGAAATTGGGACGAAGCCCTTTCCACGCTGGGGCATAAACACCTTGTACGTCCGCTGTAAGAAACCCACACTGCCTCTTCTGTTTCCCTGCCAACAACAAACCTCCTATACTGAGGACTCACAGGAACCTTTCGATTTGGGATGGATGTTCAGGGAAAAAAGATCATACCGTCTTCTGAACCCGTTTTAACAAATTCTGTGCACACACGCCGTTCTTCTTGGTAACAATGCCCCATCGAGAATGTCCGCCAGCAAGCATGCAGGGGTGGCCTCTCCTTCCCAAGCACAGGCTGATGTGTCTGGTTGATCCCTCAAAACAGAGCTGCGCAACAGAACTTTCTATGACAATGGACATGTTCTACATCTGCGCTGTCCAGAATGGCAGCCACTAGCTTCATGTGGCTATTGAGTGCTTGTGGCTAGTGGAGCTCGAGGGACTGAAATTTAATTTACTTTGAACTCTAGAACCCAAGCTCCAAGAGGGCAAGAGTCTTTCTGTTTTGTCTTGTTCTCCACCTAGAACAGTCCCTGGCTGTCAACAATATGCTCATTTAAAAAAAGTGAAAATGGGGCCGGCCGAGTGGCATATTGGTTAAGAACTGGCTTGGGATGCCAGAGGGCCCCGGTTCAGATCCCACATGAGGGCCAGTGACACTGCCCTCTACAGCTAAGATGCTGAACAACAGCTCAACTTGGAGCTGGGCTGCCGTGAGTTGCCAGGCGACGGCGTGGGCTGCAGCCCCTGCTGCAGTGGGTTGCCATGGGCTACCGTGTGTAGCCAGCAGCCAGCGTGAGCGGCCAGCAGCCGCCGTGAGCAGCCGTCCAGAAGCCGGCGACTGATCTGCCTCGCCCGGGAAGAGCGCAATGATGGTGCCAACTTGGGCCAGTGAAGCAATGTCCACAACTAGACTGAAGAACAAAAGGAAAACAACTTGTCTGTTCCCCTTCCCCCAATTCCCCAGCGCTGTAAAAAAAAAAGTGAAAACTGTTGTTCAAGCTGAGAGCTGCCAACAGGGCGGCTGGATGGCTCAGTGTGTAACAAAGTTGCCAGTTCAACTCCTGCATGAGATGGTGGACTACAACTAGATTGAAAGCTGCCACTGGATTTAGAACTGAGCTTGCACCCTCCACAACTAAGACTGAAGGACAACAACTTGACTTGGAGCTGATGGGTCCTGCAAAAACACAATGTTCCCCTTCCCCAATTTCCCAACACTGTTCCCTTCCCCAATTCCCCAATAAAATCTTATCAAGTGTTGTTCAAAGAATACATCGATTCTTGTCTCCCCCCACACCCTCCAAGTAGAAGTAACCATTCTCCCTTCCCTGCCCCCTCTCTTCCCAACAGACACGAATTCTTACAGCTGTCATATTCTTCCCTTCCCTTGCTCTCCCCTGTAAGAGAACCTTGAGCAGAAAGCCTGTGATGCTGGCTTCCTGCCTGAGTACCTAGCACAGAGCCTGTGTGCAGTAAGGGCTGGTGACTTCGGCACAGGGTGGGGAAGAAAGGACCCCCAGGAGTTCTGCCTGCTGTGGTCCTCCACACCACAGAGATGGAACAGCATTCTGCTGTTTCTGCAGAGGCCTCTCCTCAGATGCAGAGACAAAGATGCAGTTTAGAGCGTAGTCGCCTCCACCATCTGTAAACTAGGCTTGGTCCCTCCACTCGTCAGCGGGAGTAGAAAAGACCCAGAAGGTGAGAACACAAGCTCCCCTTTCCCCTACGTGACCCCTGAGCGTCTCCTCGCAACACTCGGGGTCTGACCTTCGTTCCCACAGAAACACGGCCACCGCCTTCCTGTGGGCCTGGAAGGCCTGCCCCAACTGGCTTTCATTTAACGGCGACCTGATTAGACACAAGAGCCCATCTCTCTTGCAGAGTGGGGGCCTGGAATTTTAAAGAAGCCTGTAACTCACATTTCTCCTGGCTCACAGACGACAGCATTGCAAGCCGTTGGCCCTGGAGCCGGGGTAATTGTAGCTGGGGGAAAAATCATAACATTACCCAGAATATTCTTAGTGGAAGGGGCACTCAGAACACATTTAAGAGCTTAAATGGAGGCCATGTGAAAAAAGACAGATGGACAGGAACACTTAGATTTCAAAAGTCAGGCCTTTCATTTCCCTCCGAGAATGCTTTTTGTTTCAGCTAACAGGTTTCAAACAGCGCTGCTGGCAACGGTCACACCATAAGGATCTTATTTAAGCGAACGATCAAACACAGTTAGGATGGAAATGTGTGGAGAAAGGCAGGAGACCTTGAAGTTTTCTCTCGAGAAGGGAACAAGGGGAGAAAAGTCCTGGGCCCTGACACCCCAGGCCCCTCTGCGGTGCCCAGGGAATGCAGGCGAGAGCCAGCGGGGTGACCTGGACGGGCCGCAGGTACCAGGTCCTGGGGAAGCCTGGCCTTGGCGCCACCGATGTGGAAATAATCCCAGCCTCCCACCAGCTGCTGGGGAATAGCTGCCTCAGGCAGCAAGCTGGGGTTTTCAGGTGGAAAACAGAAACATAATGACAATGCTGGTTAAGCAAGACACGGCTCCAGGATCTCCTCCTCCAAGAAGGCTTCTCTGAACCCTGTGCCTGGAGAGGCTGCTTATCCTACGGCCATGTGTCCCCCTGGTCTGTCGCACCACTCAGCACAGCATGGACCTCTCCCTTAAAGGGCCGGTGCCCCCACTTCCTAGGAGGCTCCCAGTGAGGATTGGGCCTGGCCCTACGCCCACAACCTAGGCAGTGGCTGCCTTTCAAGGCTGAACCTGCTTATCATGGCAGCCTCACCACTTCTGTGCTGGGGACGCCCATACCTGCGTCTCCCTCCCCGCCTGACTGCTAGACTATCCACAGCCCACCAGACAGTTCCATGTTCATCTCATGGGCACCTCAAGCTGAAAACGGTCCCAAGCCAACAACTCCCAGAGTCTTCCTCACCCCAATAAACAGTGACCCCCACCACCTTCCAGCTGCTCAGGCCCAAAGTCCTGCAACTGGCCTTCACACTCCATCTCCCTGCAAATGCTGCCAGCTCTCCTTATAAAACTGACTTCAAATTTGACTACTGTTCACCATCTCGATTCTAGTCCCTGGTCTGGCCCAGATCAGGCCAAAATAGGACATTCTCTACCTAACTTCTATTTGGAGCTAGAAAAGAAAATGATAAAGAAACAATTGTCTAGTTTCTTCAAAAGTCAGCATTAATGAAATCTTTGTAGTTCACATCAAGTTCTATGCTACTGTGCATTTCATTTGTGCTCTTTAATTCCCCCAATAACCAGGTGCTATGTCCCATTGCCCTTCCCCTGGCCCTCAAGGCCCTGCTGGATCTGCCCCTGCCACACCTCGGCCCTCGGCCCTGGCCTTGCCCACCCCTCACACTGCCTTCTCCCACTCTGGCCTTAATCCAGACCAGCTCAGCTCCACCCGGGGCCCTCACGCCCTGACCGTGCTGCTCGCAGCCCCAGGCAGGCCTGGACTTGGTCATCCTTCCAGCTCGCCTCAAACATCACCACTAACAGCTGTCTGTCCATCCCATCTCTCCCGTGACCTTTCCGCTTTCTTCACTTTTCAGTCCATGTTATTTACGCATTTGTTTACTACCGGCTTGCTCGCCAGGATGTACGTTCCAAGCAAGAGAGACTTGGGTTAGTGTCTGGCATATGCAGCACATGCTTATAGGGAGATGTTCGTGAACACGCTGTTGAAAGAATGAATACTATTATTTCCATTTTCTATGTGAGGAAATGAAAGATAGCAAGTAATTTGTCAGAGTCTCCACTGCTACAGGGAGCAGCGCTGGTTTGGAGCCCACGTCGCTGACTTCAGATATTTTTTCCTGCTCCACTTCTCTGACCCCGACACCCCACTCCCCAAAAAAGAGCATTAGGCTGAAGCTTCCAGATTCAGCCCAGGTTCTGCGGGCTCTAAGTAAATCCAGAGCAGACTGTTCCTTCACCATTATTCAAGGCACTGACTATAGGAATCCATCACAGAAATGCCAGACTGGCTCTGGGATTCCCAATCTCTCTTAATAGGAAGAACTCCTAAAAACCTAGTTCAGACATCACCTCCTCCAGGAAGTCCTCCTGGATTCAACCATGCTCTCTTCTATGCCACCCTCAAACCCTGAATAAGCCTGACACTGGCTGCACGAATCACATCATACAGTAATCAGCTACTACGTACATCTCCTGTTCAGACCCGTGATCCCTCAGGGTAGGGATTAATGTCAACTCAGTTATTCCAAGCCCTCAGCACGGTGATGTAAAGAGAAAGTCGAGTTGCATATTTGCTTGACAATCTGCATATTTGCTACATTCAAATGCTCCTTAGCCCCCCAGGCTCCCCAGGTGCTCAGGGCCTCCATCACATCCACACCTTGTACCCTGCCCTTTACCTGACTTAATGAATCACAGTGAAACAGCTCCCTGTCTTCTAACAACATCCCTCTCCCATTAGACTGTAAGCTCCGCCAGTGCAGGGCCTTCTGTTCACTGCTGAATCGCCAGCACTTGCTGGAGGCGCTCCACAGCCCCTACTGATTGGCTGCATGGAAGGATGGGTGGAAGGAAGGGAAGGAGGGAGGGAGGGAGAGAGGGAGGAAGAACTAGCAGAAGGACAAATGTGAAGAAAGAAGCTCAGTGATCCTGCCGTCACGGCAGGTGGTCTGGCTGCCCGGGGTGTGGCTGGCAGGCCTGTGCTCTCTCAGGGCAGGAGCTCACCTATACGAGTCCCCATCTCTGTTGTAGTCACACAAAAGGTAGTCCTTTCCCACCACCTTGTCTCTGGCGATTTTCAGGGGCTGGTCAACAGAAGACAGGAGATCTTCACATAGACTGGGGACCTGGCAGAGAGAAAGGAAAAGGCAGAAACAGGGGTTAAAATAACACATCAGACCGAGGCTGGCTAACGGCAACTGCAGCCAGATCACGGTCAGCATATTTAACATCTGGCCCTTGGTGCCCTGCCAGAATTATGGGCCTGTTCTGTTCTTTTCCACATGTGTCTGACACCAACTGGGTCCCCCTATAAAGAAGCCTGTTCTTGAATTACAGCGAAGCGTGATCTCCAATGCAGCTTTCCTTCCAAACCTGCGTGCAGCTTTAATTACCTGGTCGCCGGGGTGGTCTAGTACATTTAAGTGTGTCTATGCTTGGTATTGGTCCCTGGTGGGCAAAGGATAAGCTGAAGTCCGGAGAAGAAGGCAAACATTTAAAACACACAGGAATCCACAGAACACTGAGAAGAGTAACTGGTCCACGGTGGGGAAATCCCACAGGCTCCCACACTGGGTGGAGTTTCCAACACTTTCCAGGCCCCCGGCCAAGCATGACCAGGTTGGCTGGCTTGTAGAGTCACCCTCACCTGCTGCAAAGGTAGCGTCACACCAGCTTCCCACAGTGCGGAGCTCCGGCTGGCTTATCTCAGGGTGAGCCACCTGGGGCCACCTCACTGAGACGGAAGGCCACGGGGTCTGGGGTGAGCAGGGCTGAATTCCAGGGCCGCTGCCGCTGAATGTGACATGTGGCCCTGCTGGTGACCAGGCCGCTGGCCTCCTCCTCCCAACTGAAACATCAATTTCCACCAAAATATTCCAGGAAGGGATGGCAGCACTTTCAGAAATGGATTCCTTCAGGCTTGAGTCACTTCCATGCTATATTTTCAGTGTGCTGACTTATTCGTTTCATGGGCCTGGGTTTACAGAGGCCCCACCATATCGTTTACCAGGCCAGTGGCTGCCAACAGCACCAATAACCCTCCCAAATGGAAAAGTTACATCATGTGGCGAGGACACCCAGAAGAGCAGCCCTCCAGAGGGGCTAACAGCTACACCAGGCTCTGTGCTCCTCTGGCAGACCTTTTCAGCCATCAGAAAGACGGACAGGGAACGTCGCCACCTCAGAGACCACCCAGCCGCTGTGGGCACTCTGCTGACCCTCAGCCTATCAGGAAGGCCCCGTCTGGCACAACTGTACGGCGGTTATCCTGCCTTAGAGTTCACATCCATTCTGGTCTCAGTGAAATGACCAAGTTCTTATACACGGAGCAGCATCGGTCATCTAGACCCCAAGAGACATACACACCACCAACCCCTGGATTCAACCTGGTTATTTTCAGAATCCCGTCTCCATGCAACACCCACCCGTGTACTCCTCTCCATCAAACAAACAGACAGGAACAAAAATGGGGCTATTTTTTCCCTCAATGGGGCTCTTTCCAAAGGTGGTTTCAGTGATGATTGTATCAACCCCCCTGCCATTTCCAAGTGTCTACAGCGTACCACGCACCAGGCCAGGCCCTTGACATATGGCACATTAACTGCTTTAAGCTCACTCTTATCCTGTGAAGTAATTACATATCTTCCCCATTTTACAGATTAGAAAACTGAATGAAGCCCAGAGGCATTAAGGTGCCCAAGGCCCACACGAGAAGCAACAATGATGCCCCTTTCTGACTGTAACACTGGTTTAATAGACCGCTGAGAGGAAGACCGTGCATGCCAAAGGCACATGCTGGTGACAAATAACTCCCTCCCACTCCACCCCTGCTCAGCTATGATGGCCAGAACCTGGAAGAAGTGCTGGCCAAGGCAAGGAGGATTTTAACAGCTTCCACCCAAAGCAGCTGAGACCTAAAAGCGGTCTTGCTTTCCTGTGGCTGGGCCAGTGAAGCCACCCTGGGCACCCATGTTCCTGCTGATAACGTCCTAGCCTCTGTCTCCCTAACTGCCACTAGTTACTTGTTGGCTGCTGCCTTGGCTTAACTGTTGGGCCCTGACTTCTGTCTAGAACCCAATCTAACTTGTTGGGGTCCTGATACTATTGGCCTGATTTATCTTGGGCATCTTGGATTATAGCAGAGACTAAGTAATCAGGCTCTGAAATTAGGCTTCCTGACTCTACTACTTACTGGCCCTTGACCTTGGGCAAGTCATTTTATTTTTCTACTAAGGCTGGAATTCCTTACCTGTAAAGTGGGGATAATAAAAACCAACCCACTGTGATTTGGTGGGGGGAGGTCACATGAGAAAATGCATTGGTGTTGAGTATGTTGCCCATCACTGGGAAAAGCACGCACCTTAGCAGCTGATGTATTTACACCCCTGCTGTCCTCCTTTATACTCACTGCCATCGGCTATCTGTCTCAGGTGGCCACACCAGCCTAGATCACCCCTGAATTCACCACACTGCTTCAAGTGCTGGATTAAAATGCACCCCTGGGAACCCCATTCTTAACCCCAGTTCCGCCTGCAGCCACCTGCTCCCCCTTTCCCACCAGTCATGTTGCTCGCAGCTAAGTCCCCCAACACAGACAGGCTTGCAAGATAGTTTGGTATAAAAGGGGCATGACTTCACTCCTATCCAAGAGGTGAATCCACGGATCAAGATTATCTGAATAATTTCTTGCTAGCACTCACACCAACTGAAGCTGTATTTTTTCTTTACTTGTTGCCCATCTCCCTCACTAGGAATGTAGACATGACTGGGCAGTAACTTCAATCTGAACGTGGCTGCACCCCCAGTGCCCTTGGCAGTGCTCCATATATTTGGGGAGGGAGCAGTTTACAACACGCAGCCTCCCAATACCAATCGGCCTTATTTTTAAGTTAGGAAATGGGTGTGCAGTAAGAAAAGAGTTTGTTGTCAAGAACTGAACTTTGATGACACCAATGACCAATTTCACTTGTGGTTCCAACCACGCATCCGCAACTATGAATCATGATGTGGTAGAAAAGCACCAGACAAAAGGAACTGGAGTTTTAATTGAAGTCCTGGTATTTGATTAGTATATGACCTCGAGGAGCACAACGGCAAGGCTGAGACGCAAGGGACCCGGCTTCCAGCCTCTGCTCTGCTGCTAACCAGCCACACGATAAACACAGCAGGTGAGCCCCATCCCTGGTCTGTATGAGTCTCACGGCTCCAGTGAAAACACTTCAGGTAAAGAAACACTATCACCTAAATGACGTTCACTTCTTCATATGGTTTAACGTATTCATCCCTTATTTGGAGAATGCCTTTTTGGGGGGGTGTTAAGATGTCCCTTAATGCTATGAAATCACAGGTTCATTTTGGTTTTGTTTTAAAGGTTGGCAAGCCAATGACCTACTCCTCTTTGTTTTGATGTTTCTGGCCTGTGAAATTAAAAAAAAAAGAAAAGAAAAAAGAACATGGTAGCCATTGGTCTAGAAAATGAGACCCGGCCAGCCCTGCGTCTCCAAGCAGATCAGATCACCAAAATGGACCAGAAGGGATCCCACTCCGCTCACTTGGTAACTCACGTCCTTTGAAGCACAGACAAAGCTGACTACGGCAACAGTGCAAGGGGTGGGTCTGTGATGCCAGCTGTCACCAACAGCTACCCCGTCACCTGCCCGGCCTGCCTTTCCTTTTCTAGTCACAAAGCTCTTGATTCCATGTAGCTGGGGCAAGGCTGATACCCACTCCACCGCTGCCTGAGGCCATGGAAGGGCCTCGGCCTGCTGCTGGGCCTAGCCTGGGAAGGGGCTCTCCCGGGAGTTTTCCCCAGGAGCTACGGGGAGGCCTGGCTCTCCCTTCCTCTGCCAGGGCAGCTGGGGTGGATGGGGGTGAGCATCATGCGCTGCAGTGCGCACAAGGAGGGCACCTGCCTGAGCTTCTGAGCAACGAGAGGCCCCTGTGATGTTAGTATCTGAGCCCCTAGATCCAGCCATCCTTGAAGGGCTGCGCCCCGACTTCCCAAAGTCACGGACAGGTGCTAACCAACCTCAGGCAAACACACATCTAAACTGTTGCTCAAAAAATTAGGCCTAGGGCCGGCTGAGTGGCTCAGTTGGTTAAGAGCTCGCTCAAGAGTTTGAGCTCTGAGCAACAGTGGTTCGAGTCAGCCCGAGCTGAGCAAAAAAAAAAAAAAAAAAAAAAAAAAAAAAAAATTAGGCCAGCGTACAGAAAAAGAAAGCGAATGCATGAATGGCATATGATCTGCCCTACTGTGCAAAGCACCTGGGACGTGACATGGCTGACAGGCTCTTAACCCAAGCAGGTACAGTTTTCACCTTCTGGATAAATGCTGAAGGTGGGCCATACTTTTGTATTCTATCTCCCTCCACCAATCCTGTTTCTGTGATCAAAGATAAAATGCTCTGGAGGAATAATCTAACTGTCATCACGGGGAATCCAAAGTGTGGGCTACACGGTGTGCCTGCCGTTTGTGCACGAGAGCAGCTGCCCAAGGGTGTGGTGGTGACGACTCGGCACCGCCTCCCGACCTGTCTTACTCCCACCCCACCACTTCCACCTGAACCCTCTCAAACCACCACACCTTACTCCCTGCTCCCTGAACATGCACGTTTGCACGTGCATTCTTCTACTTAAAACTCTCCCCAGTTAGGGCTGCTGGATACAAAGAACAGATTGGCCAGTTAAATTTTAATTTCAGATATACGATAAATATTTTAGTGTCAATATGTCTCAAATGTTACACGGGACATATATTTCTATTTGCTAAATCTGGCACCCTATCCCCATTCCTCTCCTAAGTCCTACCACCCTTTAGGGCCTAGCCCAAACTCCGTCTTTATCAAGATGTCACATTCTTTGGAATTCTTATAGTGACACTGATGTCAACTGAATCCCAAATGCTGTGGGGAGGCTGTTCTAATACTGCCACCAGCGATCATTCTACTCCTTCCTCGTTACTTAATATTCTCTACAGGGGCTGAGACCGGTCCTCTTAGACCCAGCCCAGCGACACACACGCCAAGGTGGGTGTTTGCAGACTTCTGAGAAAACGGGTATTAATCCTGTGATCTGAGGTCACATTACAAACCCAGAATAATGGCAGTTCACCTCTGCAATCTAGTCA